GTCACCTGCCCCCACGGACGCGCAGGGGCACCGGAGGCCAGCCGGGCAAGGCCACAGGCCGTGGCAGCAGCAGCCGGTGCTGCGCCCACACTTCCTTTTCCTCACCACCTCGACCCCCCGGAGGCTCCCGCGCACCAGGCAGCACACACCAGCGAGGAGGCTGCAGCGGCACACCCGGGAGAGCACACACTGGGGTGGGGCAAGGGAGCGACACCACCACTCGGTTCCAGGCGCCTGAAGGGCAAACGACCCGGACCGCTCCAGGAGCACCGCACAGAGCCGAGCAGAGCCGGACTCTGCCGGACAAGCCCCACACCACCGCAGGAGGGGGCCCGCCCACGCCGTGACACGCCGGCACGGCAGAGGGCGAAGGGTGTCCGCCACGTCCGAGGACCCCCGCCCGGACCCCCACACCAGCGCGCCTCCAGGCGGCACGAGGCAGAGGGAGCGGAGATCGGGCCGGGTTCCGCACCCCTGGCCTCTCCCACCACACCGAGGCAGGGGAAAGAGGAACCAGGAGCCCGCAAGACAGAACGAGAAGCTCGGCAGCATTCGCCGTGAACGGCCGTCCCTCGTCTGTAAGCGGCTTAGACCCGGCCCAGGAGAGCGCCACATCACCACATCGGTCAGTCGGTCTGGAATTGTGACATCACACGAGGCACAGGGGGTCACGCCCGGGCGAGGACAGCTGCCAGGGAGGGGTCCGTCACAGCCTCACCGGCCCCTTGCCTCCTCAGCGGCGGCGGCCAACCTCAGTGGAGGAACGCCTGACACGCACACGTGGCATGAAGACGCCTCTACCGACTCAGACTCAGAAAGGGGGTCTTCGTCAGCCACCCCTACACAACGGGCCTCCTGCAGCAGAGAGCGGACACGGGTATAGGACCCAGCGCCCGGCCTCGCCTCCACTGCTCTTGCAGCAAATCGTAAGCCGGAGATGGCAGCACCGTCGCAGGGCTCAACCGGGATCGCACACCAAGCTGCCGCACGAACCCAGGCAGGCAGCTCGGCCACCGGATGGGCAGGGGAGACGCAGTCCGACGCCAGGCCGCCGGCAGCCCATCGCGCTCTTCCCCTACCCACCAAGACGCGAAACCAGGAGCCCAGCTCTCCTGACCACAGTCGCCAGGAGACAGCGTGTCAGCACCTACCTGCAGATCCAAAATGACAACTGCAGGCGTACAAATTCCCTTCCAGGGGACAACGGGGACAATGTGTGGGACACAGCCACCCCTCAGATGGGGGCCCGGGTCACAAGTCCCCAAGAACATACCTATCGACGACGGGGCGTGCTCCTGTGGCCACCTGGTTGACCCAAGGAGTTAGAAAAACAAACACGCTTACAGTCCCACCAGCGGCCATGACCTGGACCCTTGTGCGGGCGACAACTGTCAGGCAGGGAGCCAGCCCCACCAACGGCCCCGACCTGGTGGCCTGGTGCGGGCAACGAGTGTCGGGCCCGGCCTGTGGCCCGGGGCCTCGTAGCCCCGACAACAGCCACAACCGGGTCCCCTAGTGTGGAGGCAGTGATAAAGGGTGTGCTGGTCGACCCCATGCACTCTAAGGGTACTCCAGCACGGTGACATTCAGGAGCCCGCAGACACCTACCCACCCCCGCAGCTGCCTGCCTGCTCACTTGCAAGCCTCCAGGCCCAATCTCCCAGCAGCACGCGAGCCAGCAAGGTCCCAGCAGGGCTGCGACTCTCCCGCCTGCAGCTTGGGGACTTTATTACACCCTGTCCCGGGCTCTCCACCCACCTGTTTCCCCTTGCCGGCTCCGGAAAAGGGAAAAGGCAGCCAGAAAATAAAAAGGAACCACCAACATCGAGAGAGAAAAGAGAGGCAGGGAGAGAGAGAGAATGAGCACTGAAAGGAAGGCAAAAGTACAAAAACTAGGAAAGGAGAAAGACAACATAAAGGGAAGCAATGGAAGCAGTAGGGGAAACACACACACACACACACACACACACACACACACACACACAAACAAAAAATGGCCAGACAGACACGAGTGAAAGAGATGAGGGAAGAAAATAAATCCAGAATGAGACCGCGAGAGAAAAGCCTCTAGGAAAAGGGAGAGAATGTAAAGATGAACAATGTCGAATAAAGGTGGGAGTCAGAAGTGAAATTCTCTGAGACGCAGGGGAGTGGGAGAAGGAGAGGGGACAGGTCAAAGGAGAAAGCGAAAGAGAGGAAAGCGGCGGTATTCAGCAATCAAAGCAGAGAGAGAGGGAGTCTAAAAGGAAAGGAGAGATCCAAGAAGAAAGAAATCAGGAAACATCCCCGGGGAGGCAACAGATCCCCCGCCTGGACGGAGCAAGCAGGAGAGCACCTCGAGAGACGCACGCACAGTGCAGTCCCGGCCCGGTGCAAGGACGGTTTGTGCAGCGCCGCCCGCCGCCACCGCCGCCCGGCCAGCAAGCCAGAAGCCCGACTGTGCTGACTGCGCCTGCGCTAAACCCACTGTTTCCCTCCCTCCCCCTCCCTCCTTTCCTCGACCCCCCAAACTCCACGCCAACCGCCACCCCGAGGCCTCGCGAGACTTGAGACTAGTTCTGCCATCAGCGCCATCTTGGCTTTCCTCTCATGTCCGATCCGGTACTGTGGCCACTAGATGACGTGCAGACCCCGCGATTGGATTCTTGAAACACGCTGCGGTTCCCGGTGTGGAGTTAGTTGGGGCTGCGATGGGACGGGGAAGATGAAGGATGGGGGAGCAGGAAGAGCAAAGGCAAGAGATAACAACGACAACGCTGAGTCTCGAGCCCAGGGGTCAGTTCCAGATTCATCCCTTGGGCCATGTGTTTCCAGGCCCAGCTCTCCCGGGGAACCTCATCCGGTAATGAGATAGAGACAGAGAGAGAGACAGAGAGAGAGAGAGAGAGAGAGACTGCCTCACAAAAATCAGAAACCCAGTTCAGTCCATCTCAATGCTCCCAACCGCGTTGGGACAGCACAGATTTCCCTATACACACAGCTAAAACCCAGTCAGCGCCTCACCCCAAGTCCGTTCTTAGTCTCTCGCGGGCCTTGGCCGCTAGGTGTCGCTGTTAATGTGTTTGCCCTGTGTCCTTGGTCTTCCTGACACTGCCCCGCCCCCGCCCCCGCACTCCTGCTGTTCATCTCTGCACTCTCCCTCCCCCCTCCTGCCCATCTCTCTCTGCCACTGGTTCTCGCTCACCCGCCCGCCCGCCCCGTGTGGAGACAGTCAACAGTAACTGACTTTTTCGTCTCTTTTCTTTCTGCGTCGCCCGTTTCTCTTCTTGCCCCTCCTTGCCAGGTGTCCTCCACTTTCTCTTTCTTTCTTTTTTTCAGATATATATGTATTTTTATCGATTTATTTCTTGTGAGTTTTTGAATGACGTGTTATGTTACAATTTCGCCGAGATCAGGATTCCCCCTCCCCCCTGGCTCCCACCCTTGTAAGAGCTTAGAATAACCGCTTGATTTTGCTTCTGTATATTGCTTTCTGCTGAGCAAGAGTAGAGCCATGTTGGAATAAATATAGAAAAGTTATTTCATGAAGCAAGTAAAAGTTTCAGTTTCTCAGACATGAACAAGGCAGCTGCAGGAATAAAAGAGAGAAGGTAGCAAGGCCGGAGCAGCAAGGCCAACACAAGAATGTAGTGGATAAGAAAGGGAGGCACAACAGTCTGAGAAAGCGCAGACTGCTATGCCAAGCCAAGGGAGCCCTGGCGCTGTCTAATCTTAAAGTAAAATGCTAGCTGTTATGCGAAGTTTGCGGTTTTGTCCTTTAAAAAGGTGCTTTAACCTGCTTGGGGCACGCAGAGTCCTGGGTGCCTCCAGATTACTCTGTTGCCCATTCGCGAATGCTCAATAAAATCCTCATGCTTTTTACAGCCTCTGCTTTGTGACTTGTCTTGCCGAACGGAGTGGCTCCCCTTCCACGGGGTTGGACTCTCCCCAAGTCTAACATTTTGGTGCATTGGCCAGGAATCAGGAGCAACCGTCCTCGGCAAGCAACATCCTAGCAGGGGGAGGTAAGACCGATCGGAAAGTGTGTATTTTTGTGTGTTGTTCTGTTCTGTCCTTGCCCCCCCCCCCCCAGTCTTTGAATGGTACCGGTTTGATTTGAATTTGTACGCTGGAGGACGCTCCAGTGCTTTGGAGACGGGGTGAAGATCACGTCACCCTCGTCTGGCCTTGTATGGTCGCCCCAGAGTGGCCGTCTTGTATCTTGTATTGGGCCCTTTGGAAATCTTGTATCGCGCGAATCCTGTTTGTGTCATTTGTTTGTTTTGTAATTGTGTGTAGTCTCTTGTCTTTGAATATGGGTCAGGCTGAGTCTTCTCCCCTGAGTCTTACTCTCCAACATTGGCCTGACGTTTCCACCCGCGCTCACAACCTATCAGTGGAAGTGCGTCGAAAGAAATGGAAATCTCTCTGCACCGTTGAGTGGCCGACTGTCGCTGCTGCATGGCCGCCCAGCGGCACCTTTAATCTAACCACTATCTTGCAGGTGAAAGGCCTCATCCGGGCGACCTGGGCCATCGGGCCATGGGGCATCCCGACCAGTTACCGTATATCTTGGTATGGGAGGACCTCGTGGTTAATTCCCCCCCCCCCCCCGCCGTGGGCTCAACCTTTTCTCATCGCACCCTGTCCTCCTCCTCCTCCTTCTCCAGAATTGCAGGCGCCTTCAGCTCCGCCCCTACCCCAACCCTCTGCTCTTGTTTCCCTCTGTCCGCTGGAAGCTACTCGTCCTCGACCTAAGCCTGTCCTGCCCGATGATAGTCAGACGGACCTATTAATGACCTCTGAACTTCCTCCACCTTATCCCCAGGAGCATCAACCTGAAGGAGAACCCCCAAGAGGAAGACCGGGGGAGATGGGCTCTCCAGACACCACTGTAAATGAACAGCCTGAAGCCAGATCCCCAATCCATACCAGGTTGCGGCTACGCAGGGCTCAATTGGAGGAGGGAGAAAGAGGAGAAGGGCAATGGTCTTCACAGTTGTACCCCTTGAGAATTGTAGGGGGGCAGGTCCAGTATTGGCCTTTCTCTGCCTCTGATTTGTATAATTGGAAAACTCATAACCCTCCTTTCTCCCAAGACCCCCAAGCATTAACGGGTCTCATCGAGTCCATCTTGTTGACGCACCAGCCGACTTGGGATGATTGTCAGCAGCTGTTACGGACTCTACTGACCACAGAAGAAGTCCAACGGGTGCTGATGGAGGCCAGAAAGAATGTCCTTCGGACTAATGGGCAGCCCACCCAACTTCCAAACGAAATTGATGAAGTGTTCAACCCTTGTCTGACCTAATTGGGACTTCGACACTCCAAATGGTAGGGAGCGTCTCCGTCTTTATTGCCAGACTCTGTTGGCGGGTCTCAAGCGTGCCCGGAAGGCGACCCACTAATTTGGCTAAGGTAAGAGCAGTTCTACAGGGAGCTGGGGAGACTCCCGCGGGATTCTTAGAAAGACTAATGGAAGCATACCGCATGTATACACCGTTTGATCCGGCAAGTGAAGATAGGCAGGGGGAAGTGATTATGGCTTTCATAGGACAGTCGGCACCAGACATTCGAAATAAGTTACAAAGACTAGAAGGATTGCAGACTTATAGCTTGCAGGACTTAGTAAAAGAGGCAGATAAAATTTTCAATAAGAGAGAGACTCCGGAAGAGAGAGAAGAGAGACTAAGAAAGATGCAGGAAGAGAGAGAGGATAAGAGAGATAAGCGACGGAATAAAGAACTGAGCCGTATCTTGGCCACTGTAGTTCATAACAAGCAAATAACATCCCAGGGAACTGAGATAGGGAGACAGTTTAGAGAACAGGGAGGTGAGCGGCGAAACCGTTTAGGGAAAGATCAATGTGCTTCTATTGCGACCCTGCTCAGGGACGCAAACAAACTGACCCTGGGACAGAAAGTCACAATAATAGCTCCACATGCTGTGGAGTCGGTTGTCCGCCAACCGCCAGACAGGTGGCTTTCAAATGCCCGCATGACTCACTACCAGGCTTTGCTCTTAGCTCCTGAACGCATTACTTTTGGACCAGTTGCTACGCTCAATCCCGCTTCCCTATTGCCGGAGCCGGGAACGGCCAAGGATGCCCCCCATGACTGCTCCCAGATTCTGGCCGAAGTTCATGGGACTCGTGAAGATCTAACTGACCAGCCTCTACCAGACGCGGAGGTAACCTGGTTCACAGATGGCAGCAGCTATGTCACCGAAGGAACTCGGCGGGCAGGAGCAGCAGTGGTGAGTAACAATGACTCCATAGTCTGGGCCAGTGCCCTAGAGCCAGGGACGTCGGCCCAGCGAGCTGAACTAATAGCCCTCACAAAGGCTCTAGAACTGGCGGCGGGAAAAGTAGCAAACATCTATACTGACAGTAGGTATGCTTTTGCTACGGCCCATGTGCATGGTGAGATTTATCGCAGAAGGGGCCTCTTAACTTCAGGAGGACGAGAAATAAAGAACAAGCAAGAGATAATAAACCTCTTGAGGGCACTATTCCTTCCAAAAAGACTGAGCATTATTCATTGTCCGGGCCACCAAAAAGGAACAGATCCAATAGCTAGAGGAAATAGACTGGCAGACCAGACTGCAAAAACTGTTGCCACTGAGCCAATCTCAGCCCTACCCCTGGAAATAAACTCAAAAATGGGACCCGAAGAGACCAGGCAAAACACAGATGACATAGTCTGCAACTGGGGAGTTCCATTTAAATATACTGATAATGACAGAGCTCTCATGAAAGAACTCGAAGGGGAGTGGGATGCTAAGTGCAAAGCATGGAGAAAAGGAGACAAGGTCATCCTGCCCTATCGCATAGCTACTGAAATCATTGAACACCTCCACCGCCTCACTCATTTGAGCCGGAGAAAAATGCACGCTCTACTTGCAAATGAGAAATGCCCGTTTATAACTCCTGACCTGCAGTTTCTTACTCAAATTACAGTGGACCAATGCAAGCCTTGTGCCCAGGTAAACGCAGGGCGACTAAAACTCCCCCAAGGAGCCCGTGCCCGAGGACACCGACCGGGAATACAATGGGAAATAGACTTTACTGAAGTAAAACCGGGACTGTATGGTTATAAATATCTCTTAGTTTTTGTAGACACCTTTTCAGGCTGGGTAGAAGCCTACCCCACGAAGAATGAAACGGCCACGACAGTCGTTAAAAAACTCCTTGAAGAAATTTTTCCCCGGTACGGATTGCCGCAAGTATTAGGGTCAGATAACGGTCCCGCTTTCGCCTCCCAGGTAAGTCAGGGGGTGGCCAAGAGTTTGGGGATCAATTGGAAACTACATTGTGCTTATCGACCCCAGAGTTCAGGCCAGGTAGAAAGAATGAATAGAACTCTAAAAGAGACCTTGACTAAATTAGCCCTAGAGACTGGCGGAAAAGACTGGGTACGGCTCCTCCCTATGGCCCTTTTTCGAGTGCGCAACACTCCTGCATATCATGGGCTGACTCCCTCTGAAATATTATATGGAAGCCCACCACCGGCATCCTCTTTCTGTGATTTTGATCCTACCTTGTTCCCCCATCCACCCTCGTTACAGGCGCATCTCCAGGCTCTCAGAGCAGTGAGAGAGTACATCTGGAAACCGCTTGCAGAGGCCTACAAGGACAAAGACATTCCACCGTGCCCTCACCCGTTCAAGGAAGGAGACCAGGTGTATGTCCGGAGACACCAGGCAAAAACCTTGGAACCACGGTGGAAAGGACCCTTTACCGTCCTACTGACTACTCCAACCGCCCTGAAAGTCGACGGAATTGCTGCCTGGGTACATGCCTCCCACGTGAAGCACGCCAAGGATCAGCCAGCAACAGGGACTACAGGGACTGACCAGGAACCAGAATGGAAACTTCAACGAACCCCAAATCCTCTAAAGATAAGACTGACTCGTGCTTAAAAATGTACTTTTTGACTTTGCTATCTCTTCCATGTTCATTGTCAGATTATAACCCACATACCCCCCATAAAATTACCTGGAAAATCAGTAGTTTAGAAATAGGAACAGTCATAAATAGCACTCAAGTCATTGGACCGGTTGATGTTACCTTCCCCAAGTTATATTTTGATCTATGTGACCTAGTTGGAGGAGCATGGGAGACTCCCGGTCTCCCTTATTCAGGAACTAGTAGCCGGAACGCGTATGGCTGTGAGAATGTACTGGGACGGAAACACACCAGAGCCAGACCTTTTTACGTTTGTCCAGGGAGCGACCGTAACAAGGCCAAATTCAAGCAGTGTAGGGGGGCCGAAGAAGGATACTGTGCTAGCTGGGGTTGTGAAACTACCGGGACAGTGTAATGGCTCTCTGAATCGACTGACCTCATCTCAGTCAAGAGGGAAAGTATTCCAGGGTATTCAGGGACAGGGCCCTGGATTTGCGGCCAAGGTCACTGGAAACAAAACTGCGGACCATGCTTTGATAGTGTGACTAGAAGAACGGGGAGCACCCCAGGTGGCAAATGCAATCCTTTAGTTATTTCTTTCACCTCGGCCGGAGAAAAAGCTGACTGGACTAAGACGAGAGCATGGGGATTGTGGCTCTACAGAGAAGGGTGGGACGCATTTACTCTGTTCACTATCTCCCGCCAAATAGAGCCCTTAGCCACCCAGTCTATTGGCCCAAATCATGTCCTGCCTGCCTTCCGCGGGCCGTCAGGACAACAGCCTCAACATCCTATAAGGCCATTTTTCAACCACACAGTAGCTCCACAAACTAGCACGCCGGCCTCCCCCACTATAGTGCCGAAAAACACGGGAGAAAGACTCATAAATCTAGTTAAAGGAGCCTTTCTAGCCCTTAACTCTTCAGATCCCGAAAGAGCCAGGGACTGCTGGCTATGCCTCAACCCCAGTCCACCTTATTATGAAGGAATAGCCACAATAGCAAACATAACAAACTCCAGTAGCCCATCTCCAGTCTGCAGCACCATGGGGCACGAACTGACACTTACTGATGTCAGTGGGACAGGTCTATGTATAAGAAAGAATTCAATAAAATCTAGACTATGTAACCAGAGTTTAAATGTCCCAATAGGAAATTATTATCTGACACCACCTAATGGGATCTATTGGGCATGCAACACTGGTCTGACCCCTTGCATCTCGGCACAGGTTCTTAACGTCACCAAAGACTTCTGTGTGCTTGTTCAATTGTGGCCAAGAATAACGTACCTGAGATCAACGTCTGAGACTGTTCTAGCTGCCTATGAACATCCAGGGAGGGCCAAGCGAGAACCTGTCTCTATTACTCTAGCCGTGTTACTAGATACAGGAGGAATAGCCGCTGGCATAGCCACTGGAGCAACTGCTCTGTCGAGAACAGACTATTACCAAGGACTACACCAGGCTATGAATGAAGACCTACAGGCCTTAGAACAGTCAGTCAGAGGACTAAAAGAGTCTCTTACCTCTCTGTCTGAAGTAGTGTTGCAAAACAGGAGAGGACTAGATTTGCTATTGTTAAAAGAAGGAGGATTGTGTGCCGCCTTAAAGGAAGAGTGTTGTTTCTATGCTGACCAAACTGGAAGTGTGACTGAGACTTTAGATCGACTCAGAGACAGATTAAATAAAAGACAGAAAGAATTGTCAGCCCAACAAGGATGGTTTGAAAACATGTTCTCTCAATCACCCTGGATAACCACTCTCATCTCTGCTATAACAGGACCTTTAATATTGTTATTACTCCTTTTAACTATAGGACCTTGCATTATTAATCGTTTATTGCAGTTCATAAAAGAAAGATTGTCAATAATTCAAGCCTTTGTATTAACCAGCCAATATCAGCCTGTACAAGAAAGTGCCTGTTAATGCTTATATTTTAAGATAAAAATATGTCCTAAAAGAAAAGGGGGGAATGTAAGAGCTTAGAATAACCGCTTGATTTTGCTTCTGTATATTGCTTTCTGCTGAGCAAGAGTAGAGCCATGTTGGAATAAATATAGAAAAGTTATTTCATGAAGCAAGTAAAAGTTTCAGTTTCCCAGACATGAACAAGGCAGCTGCAGGAATAAAAGAGATAAGGTAGCAAGGCCGGAGCAGCAAGGCCAACACAAGAATGTAGTGGATAAGAAAGGGAGGCACAACAGTCTGAGAAAGTGCAGACTGTTATGCCAAGCCAAGGGAGCCCTGGCGCTGTCTAATCTTAAAGTAAAATGCTAGCTGTTATGCGAAGTTTGCGGTTTTGTCCTTTAAAAAGGTGCTTTAACCTGCTTAGGGCGCGCAGAGTCCTGGGTGCCTCCAGATTACTCTGTTGCCCATTCGCGAATGCTCAATAAAATCCTCATGCTTTTTTATTTATTTATTTATTTAATTTTGACAATCCTTACAAATTTAATTGGGGTAAAAAAGGTTCAAGGTCTAAAGGGGGATATAGAGGAAGAAGCCCCACCCAGTCTCCCGCCCACCCCAAGTCCCGGGTGTGGGGTGCGCTCCGAGATACTCGATCAAGTGGTTCCAATAGTTCACCATTCATGGGTCGTTGCCAGTCTCGCCACCCCAATCATGATGTGGTCATTGAAGAGTTCATTGATTGACACAGTCCCTTCTAGGGTCTCCATTTGCCCAGTCTCTGCTGCCAACAGATGGCTGAGGTTGTTGCTTGATTTGTCCTGTCTTTCCCTGGTTAGGACTCCGAGTCCGGTGTCTCGAATGGGAAGATCCTCGAAGAAATTTTGAGGTATTCCCAGTCCAGATTCCTGCTGTTTTAGTAGCATAGGGCCGGGCACAGTCCACTGCCCCGGTCAGCTGGCGGCTGCAGTTGCTGGGCCGGTTCTATCTCCACCCGTGTCCTCTTGCAGTCCTGCCTGGTTCCACCCTGGATGCATTTGTCCCTCGCACGTACTAGTAGGAGTTGCAGCCCAGTCATGGCGGCCCACAGTAGCCTCAACCAGGCCCACCTCCTACCCTGGCTTGCCAGTATATATGGCATACTAGCCCAGTCTGTCCCCAGTACCCTTCTGTTCATATTCTTGCCAACAGGTGTTGCCACCTACTTCCATCCAACTATCTCCTCCTACCATCCCCAATGGATATTGTTGGGTGTCTGTCTAGCCACCCCAGCCCCTGTCCTAGTTCCCATGCCCTCCCGTGGAAGGTGATGACCCATGAGGGAGGAACCCACTCTTTCCCTCCCAGGTCGCTCCCATTCCAGTTGTGCCCTCTCCATTTGGCCCTGTGGTTCAACTCAACGTGACTAACCCTTTGTACCAGCTTCTGCCAACTGGTGCTACAACTAAGCTCCAACAACCCTCACCAACTCTGATTGTAGCTTGCTCCGGTGGGAATAGTCAGCCCAGCCTGGTTTTCACCCAATCTGGTCCCCATGAGGTGCACAGGCGCTGTGTCCCTGCCTGGTCTAGTCTACCCCCCACCCAGCTCCCGCTCCTCAGTGTAATTTGCTGTTCAGCTAGGGAACCTCCCCTTTTTCTCCTGTCAGCTCTGCCGCCTCCTTTCCTGGTTCTCACATGTGTTGGTTGGGTGCTGCGGCTGCATCCGGCTCAGGCTACCTCGCCTTGGCATTCCAGCTTGTGTGTTGCTTTTGTTACGACCGGACCTGGTTCGACCCACACTCTGTTCTGGCGATCAGATTTACCAGTGGATGACCTGAACAGATTCAGCCTGGTCTGCCCCCGACCCATGCCAAATGCATGCCAGTGGGACACTTTCTATGACCTCTTGGCTGTTGCCTTGCATGTTCCTTGCGCTGACCTGCAGGGTCTGTGTCCTGCCAGAGGAGTTGCCTGAGCTGCTCCATTAGAACCCCTCCATGTGCCAGGTTTCGCGCATATCAGTGGGTCCATGTGCCAGTTCGCCTCTTATCCTAGCAGGAACAGTGGTCTTTCCTAACTGGTCATCATCCCATTCTGGTTCTTGCTGTAGAGTGTTTCAGCCCAGCCACGGTCATTCATGCCCCCATATAGCTCGTATATGGCTAAGTTGAGGTTGGGACCTAGCCTAGTCCGTCCCACATCCACCCTGGTACTCCAGAGCACCAGAAAAATCCTCATGCTTTTCACAGCCTCTGCTTTGTGACTTGTCTTGCCGAACGGAGTGGCTCCCCTTCCACGGGGTTGGACTCTCCCCAAGTCTAACACCCTAACCCTTTCTACTCCGAGGAAGGAGGTCGACCAGATGCTCGGTGGCAATGGCCGCGAAATGTTCGCCACCACCACCAGGTGTCGCTGTTTGCCTATTTGTTTCCTGTGTCCTCTCAGTCTTCCTCCAACTACACCTTCCCTTCTCCCTCCCCCCTCCCGTTCAGATGTTCAATGTTAACTGACTTCCATGTCTTCTTTCTCCCCCGACCCCCACAGATTTTCCACATTTTACTACAGTGCTATAAAATTTCTCTTTTTCTTCTTTCTTTCTTTCTTTCTTTCTTTCTTTCTTTCTTTCTTTCTTTCTTTCTTTCTTTCCTTCTTTCTGTGTTCTTGGGGCGTCTTTCCAAAACCTGTTTAAAGTTTAAATTTCATTTTTTCATTGACTGATGCACTTATGTTTTTCCATTGCTTCAGAAAGAAAGGAGCGCTCGTTCTACCAGGGGAAGCTGGGCTCAACGTTGAGGGATGAGCGGCCTCTGCTTCCCCACCTGCTTGCTAATTAGCCCAACACTAACCCACCAAGACGATGCTCAGGTGTGCCGCGTCGCATCCCAGGCTACAAAAGGTATCCAGGCGAAACCGGGAGCGCGGCGGGGCCGGAGAGGAATGATTCAGCGACCTGTGCTTTATCGCACACGCACACGCAGGAAAAATAATAGAGGTGCTGGGACGGAACAGTAGCCGACTGGGCACACGTGGGATGAATGGACGCGATGATCAGTCGGAAGCTAACAACTCTGGCTGGCACTCACTGCTCAGTTTTTGTTTTGTTTTGCGCTTAGGTGGATGAAGAGGGAGGGAGCACCTCACTGGGAACAAGAGTTGGATGAAGAGGACGTGTGTCGTCTTCCCTGCTGTTGCCGCCCTGCCCCCTGACCCCCCCCCCCCCCCCCCCCCCCCCCGCCGCCACCGCCGCAGCCGAAAGGACCCACCCTGCCCCCAATGGTACGCCCCCATCACTCCCGACACACCCAAAAGCACCCACATTTCTGCTTCCTGAATGCCCCTACCTATGTCTGCCTTGCTGCTGCGATGCGATGCTGGAAGCCTGACCTTCCTGCCACCGTCTAATCCATTATGTGCCCGTCACTCCCCTTCGCTCTGGAACTACAAAGTGGGATCTGGCCACTGCTTTCTGACTGGCATGGGGCAGACCGTGAGTGGTTCTCAGGAACGACTCCCTTCTGATGTGGCCTTTCCATTGGCATATGAATTCACTCTCCCATCCACCACCTGAACTATGTGAATGCGCGTGATGAACCTGTGGGTGTATTTCTGTCACTCAAACAAGCAGAATCGCTCGACAGCGAGCATCCCTCCCTCTCCATGC